AGCGCCCGCCACCCCCCCTTCACACACACACACATGATGCTTATTCTTTTATCTGTTACGTATAGCTACTGCTCATACTAAATGCATTTATTTGTAAAGTTAAATATGTAATTTGTAACGGATACCTAGCTACTAACTATAGTTTTATTCAACTTTCCAAAAAAATATTTTCATACTTATTTTACACCTTGTTTTTTTTACTCACCAACGAGTTTTCAGCTTTTCTGCACGAATAACTTACGATTTACACAAAAAAAGCGCTCTTAAACTAATTTAATAACGAAATTTTCAAAACAACATCCCTTTGTAAAACTTTTTCTGCCAACATTAGTTGAAGTTCAGCTTTCAGATTATTCTCTAAAAAAATATAATGGAAATAACATTTTCATAATGTTCTACTTTGTCTGTAGTTTGTAATACATTTTTTTTATTATCAGCGAACCTGTATGACTACAACTGTACGTAGACATGACGATACATAATCACAGTAGTTACAAATATTGTAATTAATGTTTATTGACAAACTGTTTTTGAAAGAATCGACAAAATTTAATAGGATTTAGGACTGACCCAGATTGTCAGCCAAGGCGTGAGTAGCGAAACAATGCCGTTGACGAGCAGCGCCACCTGCAGGGGCAGCTTGCCTCCCCAGCGCTGGCAGACCATCCCAGTGGGGAACATCATAGTGCCGTATCCCAAGAAGAAAGCACCTAGCACCATCTCTTGCGTCGACTTCGGCCAATCATACACCTGGAAATGCATTCCATATCTAATTTAAGCCGTGACAGGGGTGTCAATAAGGTTAAAAATGCAAACAAAAAACTTCATAATTAAAATAACAAGTGCTAGGAAAGTGGATAAACAATTTTAATTATTTAATTTTTCCTCTCGAATTTATAACTACTACTTACGTTAATCATTGTCCCCTCATCTTGTGACAATTTGTACGATGCGTTATTTACGAATGTTGTATTGTCAACAAGGGTATTATTTGCTTTAGTTTCCATTGCTTCTGTGTGAGTGGGCTCGGGGCTGGTCATGGCGACGATGGTGACCCCGAGATGTGCTCGCGCCACGTAGCCCACGGTCAGGCTGAGCACCATGAGCAGCGCCTGCACGTGCCGGTACCCATAGCCGTACTGCAATACAGCCTCTTGCTGTGCTGGAATACAATTGTACCATTTTACTGATTTAGGACGAAAATATTAAAACCTAAACATGGATATGTTCTAACTTTCTTCCGCGACTTCGTTGAAGGGAATTTAAAAAAGTAAGTAGTTGATGTATTATTCCAGACTATCCTCAACATCTATGCCAAATTTCATCGAGATCCGTTTAGAAGTAAACTGTAGGCTAAAGGCTACAACTCTAACAAACTTCCACACATGCATCTAAACTTTCACATGTATAATATTAGTAAGATTTCAACTAATGTATGTACTATAAACTGCAAACTTCTTCTGTAAAAAGCTATCAAGTAAGAATCAAGGCTGTTAGAGTAATCACATATTACATTTACTTACCTGTTTTTTCATCAGTTGGAACTTTCGTGTAATCCTTGTCTGTCATGATTTTTTAATTATTTAGAAATTTCACACCCTCTACGGAGTCATCACTAAAATGAAATAAGCTCCGGCAATTATAAATTACGTAAGTAATATTTACGTAATAAGTAAACGCCTAACATGTACAGTCAAGAAGATTAGTGTTAAACATGTGTTTGGTAATTTTTTTACAGACAAAATTGAATTTGAAAGAAACTAAGGCACTCAGCAATAATTCAGAAACACAATATGAAGACTGCTATAAATTTTAGGCGCATAAAATCATATGGAGGACACGACTTTGACTTTAAAATTATAAAAAATACAATAAATAATGTTACCTTTTTGGAAGTAATTGTGTAGGCGAGTGTATTATGTTCTACGCTTGTCGTTTAAACAAACAGCATTATCTCATTCACAAACACTGCTACTTGTTCTTGTTAATTCCTTCTTTGTTTTAAAATAGCATTAGTTACATATATTACAATATTTCGCATAAAATAATACAAGTATATATGTGTACGACTATTATTTATTCTATATACGAAAAGTAATTATGACGACAACTTATATTTTTGCAAAATCATCATAGTTTGTATGCATTTGCGTTGCGATTGGTTTGAACATTTGCCGCAGTCGGGGTTGATATAATTTACTCCATAAGATGCGGTTAAATAATTGAAAACATAAACGCGACAACATAAACTTTAACATCGAGTGATCCAAATTAGATATCTGAGTATCGTGACTATTCTTGAGATCGATTTTGTTGTTATCGATAAAATTAGTGCAGCGCCCCTACCGGGCGTATAGTACATCAAAAAATCTCATGCTTTTGTCGTTGACGTTACGAATATATTCACGCAAATATATGTGACAGACCCTCATTTGATAGAAGGAATAAAACTTTAGGTCTCATTTAAATTGTATAATTTCTACACAGTAGTAATATAAATGACGTTTGGTACTGTCTGACGTCGCCTCTTCAGGTGTCAGCTCTTCGTTTCTACCTGTTGTTTAATACGTGTATTCGTATGTCCTCCATTGCAGTCTAATGTATAAATAGCTTTACTGTTGTTTTAGGCAGCCATAAAAGCTTAGAGTTTTTTTTAATAATTACTAGTTATCAAACTAAATAAGAAAAAGCTAATTCTTTGTTGATTTTAATCACAGAAGGGAAATCTAATCTGTGTATTTCTTAAAAAAAATACTGATGTAAAGTAATATTTCTGTCTGACAATGATCCAAGATTATTTGAATGTACTCTGATGTAATTTACAAAGAAATGTAATAAATGAACCACGCTACTTTCTAATTTTATTTATAATTCTTAAACAGGTGACTTAATAATTTTTCTATGATCGTTACGCGTGCGAGCGTAACAGACTGAGATTCCAGTGTTGACCATCAAATGACAATTAGGAAGCATCGTATCTTGTATCTCGTGGGTCGCGGCGGAGCAGTCGACGGCTCACTGCTCTTTATCACATTTCTGTGATTCCTTGCTCTTTGCCAATATACCTTTAAGTTCCACCATTGCATCGCGTTCTCTTTTCTTGATGTCTGAAAAGAACAGTGTTTTTTCTGTAGTTTGTAAGCTAAAGATTATTAAATGTAATAATGATGTAAGTTTACGCCGAGGAGAGTTGTAAGGATATCCGTGAGTGATGGTATGAATTCTCATTTGTAAAGGGATGTAAATTCCTATAGCATAGTATTCTTTTGTACTGCGATCAGTCGTAACCATTTTATTTGAAAATATAAAATGATTACCTTCTTCTTCTTCGCCATAAAAGTTCCACTCTTGAACCGTGCCTTTTGCGAAAATTACGAATATTAAATTAGTGACGAGTTGTAGCGCCGCGAACAAGATGAACAGAATCTGCCATTTCTTTTGATTTGTCTGCAATGCAAAATTACAAAATTTATCCAAGAGCTTATCTAAAAATGTTTAAATAGAATGTTGAGGAGCACATGAAGGTTCACTGACCGCGTCGTCTCCGACGATGTTGGACACGAGGACGGGCACGAGGAGGCCGGACAAGTTCGCTATCATGTTGCTCATCGCCATCATCGGACCCGCGAAGTTCGGCGCCAAATCTATGTGGTTTATCTAAAAAGTACAAACAAAGGTCATTATTCGAAAAGTGTTCGTGTGACGTCGAAACGTAACAATAGAAATGTGCGCTGACATGAAAGCCGACGTGCACGCCGGAGTGCAGGCCGAGGCAGAGCGCCATGGCCGCCACCGCCAGCCGCGTCTCCGCCACCACACTGAAGCACACCAGGAACAGCCCCGACAGCGCCATGCCTGACGACACACATCACTATACATTACAACATACAAAGGATAGTATATTAAGTATAGTAGTTGTAGCGTCCCATCAAGTAATAGCATTAAATTATATTTCACGTCATATTCATTACGTACCGATCGAATTTGCTGTTCTTCTAATGTTGACTATTGACATTAGCTTCTTGTTGGCGACCAGATCCGACACGTAGCCGAACAGCAGCGTCATCAGGTACATGGAGATGTACG